GTTTTGTTTGTTTTTTTGTCTTTAAAAAAAAATCATTTTATTAGGGGCTCATACATCTCTTATCACAATCCATACATACATCAATTGTGTAAAGCACATTTGTACATTCATTGCCCTCATCATTCTCAAAACATCCACTCTTCACCCAAGCCCTTGGCATCGGCTCATTTTTACCCCTCCCTCCCCGCTAGCCCCTACCTCTCAGCACTCACTCTTAGGATGATCACATAAGCTTGCTGTCAGATGTAAAGTCCTGAGGAGAACCAGGTGTGGAAATGAGGCAGGCAGCAGTCAACTCTTGGAATGGCACAACAGACCGTGCTCCACTGCTGATACTCTTGTCTTTGAGGAAACAAAAGTGGCAGCCGGAGATACAGGAATACTGGGAAAGTGATATTCTTGTGGGTTCTGAATGATAAACAGCAGTTACAGGGTTGCCTTTGATTAAGGGATCCCATTGAAAGGGGGCGGGCCTCCTGAGGGAGTTTATAACTTGGGTTTTCAGTATGATCATAAATACACATTAGGGGGAAAAGAAAGGTAAGCGATTTTAAAGTTCATTCTTTGTTTTTATGCAGCATTGTATGTCTCATCATAATTGCATTTCTAGACCCTCTTCTAGAAGGAGTCTTGGTAGCACTGTGGTTTAGGTGGTGGGCTGCTGAGTGCAAGGTTGGTGACTCAAACCCACCATCTGCTCCAAAGGAGAAAGAAAGGTGAGGCTGTGTGTTCCCATAAAAATGTGTAGTCTCAGACATTCTATATAGGGTCATTCAGAGTTGGAATTCATTCAACAGCAGGGTTTTTTTTTTAAGCTAGTTTAAAAAACAATTACTTAACCCTTCTCTAAAGTGGCATAAACTTGAGATGTGTTCTTGTTTTGATTTTAGCAGAATTCATGTTGCTCCGATAGGGGCTCTTTGCAAACTGATTTCCTACCCCTCTGAATGCCTTAAACCAGATCCTCTTCAGATATGTTAGAGTGGGTTAATATGGATTTCTTCTGGTGGGGAGAGAAATGAAATGTATGCATAGTATTTTCACAGTAAGCATTGCCACGGACTCTTTTGAAGACTCCTCCATGAGCCTTAGTAGTTCAGTCATGTTTCATACGCTCATTGGAGATTCTCAAAACTTGTTTGGGTTTCTGGCTTGATGCATGTAACTGTTTTTATTTAATGTTGCCTTTTTAATGGTTTCTTGTTTTTAAGGTGAATTCTATTTAATTTACTCGTTTTGCTTAATGCAGACACACCTGAAAAGGTGTAATTAAAGTTAATTGCATTCTTGCAGAGTGACGAAGGAAAAGAGCAAACCCCAGGCTGGAGAAGGAAAGGGTGTCCCGTCAGCTCCGATTCAGCACTCCTTCCTCACCGACGTCTCCGATGTGCAAGAGATGGAGAGAGGCCTCCTCAGTCTTTTGAATGATTTTCATTCTGGAAAACTTCAAGCATTTGGTAAGCAATGGGTTTTTCTCTTTATTACTTATTCTGTCCAAGGTGTTTGCATCCTATTTCAGTTCTGTGTGGATTTGTGTGTTTTACTATCCCTCTTAGAAGCATCATTTCCTCTTTTTTAACAGAGAAAAAGAATTAGAATTCACAGACAAAATGCAGTCATTCCAGATTTTGAAATGAATCATAATTTGCCTTCTAAAATTTCGGGAAAATTGTAAAAATCTAAAGGCACAGTTAAGATTGTGATTGTTAGTCCCAGGCATTTCTGGCTCAGCAATTATATGTGCAAAGAAAGAAACACTGCTTAGTCCTGCACTGTCCCACAGTTATTCCTGTGTTTGAGCCATTGTTGCATCAAGTGTACTCCATCTCATGGAGGGTCTGCCTTATAAAATCTGTAGTATCTTCAACCTTTTCTCTGATGATGTTGCGTATGGGTCAAGTTGTATTTTTGTTTTCTTTTTGTTGAAGTCTATGACTGAATGCTAGTCTTTGAGCACCATCAGCACGTACTTCAACTCCTCTTCACATTCATTAAGCAAGGTTGTACCGTCTGTTGGTAATGATTCCTTCTGCAATTTTCATGTCACATTCTTCTTCGTATAGCCCAGCTTCTTGGATTGTTTGCTTAGCATACAGATTGAATCAGTATGGTGAACGGATATTGGCCTGAAATATACGTTTCCTGATTTTAAACCACTATTATTCTCTTGTTTTGTATGAACTACTGTCTGTTTGAATTACTGTGGTTCTGTTTGAACGGCTGTCTCTTGGTCTGTGTACAGGTTCTGTGTGAACACAATGAAGTTTTCTGGAATTCCTATTTTTTGCAGTGTTGTCTATACTTTATTATGATCCACTCAATTAAATGCTTCTGTGTAGTATCTTGAAAGTGTAACAGATAAATAGCATACCTTTCATCAGTTCAAATATGTTTTACGTAGTGTCATAGATTTGGGGGGAGAAAGAAACTCGGGGCAGTTCTACCCTGTCCTATAGTGTCGCTATGAGTAGGCATCAGCTCGGTAGCAGTGAGTTTGAGAGTTATATAATAATTTTTTTTTAAATCTCAGAATCATTTTTGTGACTTTTAAAACTGTTTCTTGCCCAGGATCCCTACCTTTTGAATGTAAAAGGAGTCAGTGTTTTTTTCATGAAGACAGATGGGACCAAGCATGGTTACACATGCCCCTAATTGAAGCTCTGTGAGTTGCTGAGAGCCAGTGAGGTGGTCAGCCCCAGAAAGCGTTACAGCCTTGGAACCCACCAGCAGTTCTCCAGGGTTGACTAAATAGCAGTGAGATAGTTTCTTTAGTTTAATGGTTTCATAAATGATATTAATATTGAGTATGTGTATGTGTGAATTTTCTGTAATTAAGGGATGATTTTGCATTTAAAAAATATTTTCTGTGATGCTGTCTTAGTTTGGGTTCTCTAGGGAAGCACAACCAGTGATGTGGGTATGTGCTGTCCAAAGAAAGAGATTATAGCAAGAAATGGCTTACACAACTGTAGAAATTGGTAAGTTCAGTCAGGTTCAAGTTAGGCTTCTCCTGAATCATGGAAACTGATTAACTGGAAGCAGGAAGACCAGGCGAGAGAGCAGGGCGCACAGGCTGGTGGATGCAGAGGTTCAAGGTTGACGGAATGAATCTGCTGTAGGTGGTCTGCTGACAAATCCTGGGATTGAGGGGTGACACTACAGGAGATCAAGGAACCAGACTTAAGATTCAGCTCTGACAGAAGGCGAAGGGCCGAAGAGAATTCGACTCTCCTTGTTCTCTTGTACAAAAAGCTTATGACACAAAGAGGTGTCATCAAGCAGTGACGCAACTGATCGGTTGAGCCCCGCCCCTACCGTTCCCAGGAGTGTCTCGTTGACATAATCCCTAACCATCACAGATGCCCCACACATTGTTTAGGTCCAGCATTGATTTCATAGTCATAAATTTGATTTGTTATTATACACTGGGAATATACAGTCATTAAACAGTATAATTTTTAAAAGAAAGGTTAACAGTGTCTTTATTAGTGCCTTTATTTTAAAGTTTTCCTCAAGGTTGTCAGTTTTAACTTTCCTCATTTTTATTAATGCTTTGTAATTTCCCCCCAGGAAATGAATGTTCCATTGAACAGATGGAACATGTTCGGGGAATGCAAGAGAAATTAGCTCGCTTGAATCTGGAGCTCTATGGGGAGTTGGAGGAACTTCCTGAGGAAAAGAGAAAAGCAGCCAGTGACGCCAATCTGGACAGGCTTCTGTCCGATGTGAGCACCACTCTTTTTTTTAAGTTCACGGAATGTAAAACTCGTCACGTAGGCCCTTTTGCACCATCTACCTTGGTGACTTTGCGTATGTATGTTTGCAATGTTGTGTAACCATCATCACGATCTACTCCAGCACCTTCCCATCACCCCCAAGGAGGAGCCCTGCACCTCCCCTTTTCCCTCCCTCCTCTCCCTAGCAACCATTTTCTGTCTTTATAGATGTGCCTGTTTTGGACGTTTCAAAAAAAAATAGTGATAAGATATGTGGCCTTTTGTGTCTTAACTTCTTTTACATCGCATAATGTTTTCAAGGTTCATCATGTTTTTAAAATATTCTCTAAGGGGATGAGTCTATTTAGATCTGATCATGTATTCTGAGCCTTCTGGGATATCTAAAAATGAAGTATTTGATTCTGTATATGTAAGATCTAAAGAGCAGCATGTCAAAATACCTTTTCCTGACAAGATTAATATGTCTTGGGTTATTTATTTTGGTGATAGTCGATTACTTTTAAATACAGAACCATGAGTTTATGGTAATTTAGTTCATTTGGCCATGGTTACAAGAAGAGTTAATCTCTTGTCCTCTTTTCTATCTTTTAAATAAGTTACTTGAGGGAAATTTTGTGGGTAGACGTTTCCAAGTCTACTGTGTTCAGCTTGCACGTACTGTATGTGCTCGTGTATAAACCAAGGTTTTCAGCACATTTTTAATGCAGTTTTTGTGGTAAAATTAGCTACCTCGGCTGATATTCGGGTTGGCTTATACTCGAGTATATACAGTATTTCCTTTTACCAATTCATTTTTGTTCTTTTTAACAAACGAATTCTTGATTTGGTATACATTTAGAAGAGTCATTTTAGTATGGTTAAAATAACATGGACTTTGAAACTTGAATATTTTTGTTCAGTTTAAGTTCTACATTTGCATGGTAGCAGTAACACGGGGCAGTTTAGTTAACAGTTCTGTAGCTCAGCTATTCTGTCTGCAAAAGAGAAGTGATGAAGTATGCATCATACTGAGGACAAAAGGCCTGTGAGAGCTTTTGAAGCCATAAATGTTTAAATGATTTTGATCATTAAAATATCAGCTGTTAAAAAATAAAACTATTATGAGAGACTACTTTAAATTACACGTAGTTTTAAGAATTTATAAAACATCCAATTTTAGTGAATGTTTTAAATCTTCCCTAATATCCTTGCTTAATAACTATTAAAGCTACATTATTATTATTTTGTCTAAGTGAATTATCCTACCCTGGAATGTTTAGAAAGAGTTGCTTTCAACTTTAAAAAAATGATAGTTAACAAGGCTCTACTTATGATAATTATCTTATGAAAATTAAAATGGTTTTTTTCCCTCTTGTTGCAGTTAGAAGAATTGAATTCTTCCATGTATCCTTTGCCTATGACCAAGAGTGGAAAGTGTATGATTTGTGATTTCTGGCGAGTAGCCAACTGCAGCCAACTTTGGAAGGCGAGGTTGTTTGGTCGTGAAGAACAACCTGGGGCGCTTCTCTTTCCTGTAGATTTCCAGATGGGATTTTCTGAGGGTTTTTGATAGGAAAATATTGTTTCTGTTAGTTTTATATTCTTTTGAATTTTAAAACCAAACTATTTTTCCTCCCTAATCAGCAGAATTGAGGACTAGGCCAGTTGCCATATAATTTATTTTTAATCTCAGATTCAAGCCTAAATGGTGGTTGGTTATCTAGCGTTAATACTGGACTAACTTAAGATCATTATATAGTCTCTTTTAGAAGCATAAATTTGAATAATAGTTGTAATTGAAATGCAGCCTTTCTTCAAGGGATGCTTACATAGCTTGTAAATGGCATTTGAATAATTTAGTGTACAGAAGATATGTTAGGACCAAAGAGCACATAAAAAAACTTTTTTTTTTCTTCCTCATTTCATTTTAGAACATTTCTTCCAGAGACTTTCCAAAATGTATTTCTGAACTTAACGATGGGCTCAAGGTGAAGTGCGTAACAACAGTAAGAACCGCTCTGGCTAGACGGGAGCTTCAACAGAGAGGCACAGCGAGCCCTCGGAGCCCTCAGTGAACTGGGAGATGGGTTGTTGAAGGAGAGATGGTGTTTGAGATTTGGCCCTGCCGATGTTTAGAGTGTGGCTTTGGGCAAATTATTTAACATTCCCAAGCTTCCTCTGCAGGATGAGAGGGCTTCAAGATGTTACAGAGAAATTCCATCATCTTTTAATTCCTTTTTTTTTTCCATGAATTTTTTGATACCCCCATAAATCTATATATGTACATATACATATATATATACACACATACATGCGTGATTTATGTGTGTGTTTTTTTTTCTTATTTATTTTGTGTATATGAAATGAGTATTCTTGCTACAACATTATATACTATTGTTATGGCTGAGGGTGGGCTATAAAAATCCAGTAACAGTAATGAATAGCTAATCTTTATTGACTACGCACTCTGCCAAGTTTTATACAAATGATCTCGTTTGATCCTTCCCTTGGAAGTGGTAGTCTACTTCCCGTTTTACAAATGAAGAAAAAGGCATCCCGAAGCCATGTGAACTGGGAAGAAAGATCACTCTAAGGTGTCATTGTCAGGAGAGGCTGAAAGGACCGGGTCAAATGGGAGTTAATGCAAATGCTTTTCTCAGGGGTAGCCCTGCGTTCTTTGTTGTTGTTTGTTCTTTGAACTTCTTTTAAATATTCAGACTTACTGTCCCACCACTTCCTTCTCTCTAAAAGAGGGAAAAGAAAGGCAGTGATGAGAAGTCTTAGAGAAAATAGGAGCAGAAATTCTATTCTTTTCTAATTTTTCAAGGGATAGTTAAAAGTTTAGTGTTGAAAAATCATAAGAGTTTTACAATTTTTTTCAAAGAAACTTTTCCCAAAAGGTGATTAATGCCTTCTACTCACATGAATGTCTTAAAAATCCAGTAAATATTTTCTTCATTGCCTCTAGTCCACTTCTTACCCTGAAAATGACTCTTTGCTGCCTTAAAATAAGTCTGTGCTGTATTGCAATTCACAATGTAGGCTAATCCTGTACGTTAAAAAAACAAACCTTTGAATTCTAGACAGAATAATTACTTCACTACATTTTAAAACTATCTTAATAGGTTTCAGTTTCTTTCATTTTAGGTTTAAGTTTTGTAAAAGGCAACATGGGGCCTTCTCCCTTGAGTCTCCCTGATTTCTTTTAACTCCTCTATTTTCGAGCCCCTAGGGATAATATCCAGATCACTCATTACAGAATGACGGTTTTCTTAACTCATGAGCTCAGACAGAAACTCCACTTGGCAGATGCACAAGATGTTCCCAATGCTTCTGCCCGCTAAAAAGAAACATCGCCTGCTTTCTTGTGATTTGAAGAAAGGAATGTTCTTTACTTTTCCAGTGGGTGCCAGTAGCAGATGGCCCTTCTACCACAAGAAATTAAAGGGAAGTGCAAATGCGCTGAGTGTTTTCACCTTCTGCTTGTAGTACGCTTGACTTGCTGTAACTCACTATAACTGGAGGCCGAGGCCTGGGGGATGGGGGTGGGGGTGGGGGGGGTGGAGGCTTCATCAGGAGATGGGGTGCAGGGATTGTGCTGCTATGCTTTAAATTGTTGCCTTATGGGGTTATACTTGAAATGCATTGTGCTAAATGTCCTTGACAGGGCTGAAGGATCTGTCCTTCCTTCCTGAGCTCACCAAACTCCCGCAGGGTTGCTGTTAAGCTGCTTATGCACAGGCTTTGTGAGGCAGCTGCGCTTTAGACAACAGTTTACTTTGGACAATCAGGGCACACTTCTGGTACTGTGTTTCTCAGTGGCCAATGATGATGAATTGCTAAATAAGTATATGTGAAATTTGCTATTTTTAATAAAAGTGATGGTTTTAAATGAATCTCGAGCGTCTGTTCTCTGATCTGTTGCCTTTGATGAGGAAATACAAAGGTCAATCCTTAAAAATGAACCTGTGCTTTACTAAATTGGAGATTCTAAAATGAACTTTGTCTTGCAAATTTTGCACGCAGTTCACAGGTTTAATGCTGGTATAGCTGGTATAGGAGGGGGACTCTATCGCCCTGAGACCCATTGATATGAACCTCATTCATGCATCCATTTTCTCCAAGTCTTAATTCTTAATCTAGAAAATGAGATTAATAACTTAATGTTGGCAAGATGCAAGCTAACACTCTTTAAGGTTCAGCATATATGAATATTAGCACAATTACCTCTTCTAAGCTCCTTTATTAAGATATATTTCATAAATCTACATTAAGATAGATTTCATATATAGATTTTATGAGATAGATAAAATGTACCCTTCTAAAGTTTATAATTTAATGGTTCTCAGTTATGCAACTCTCCTCCCCCAACCCCCCAAAACCCTCATTAACTATCATGTCTGTGCCCCCATCTCAGCCCCAAGTGAGCCTTCTCAGCCCCAAGGAACCAGTAATCTACTTCCTGTCTCTGGAATGGCCAAGATAAAGGAATCATAACAGCAATAATATTTTGTGACTGGCTCCTTTCACTTAACCCCTGCTTTCAAGATTCATCCATGCTATACAAATACATATGAGTACATTAGTTCCTTTTTGTGGCCAAATAATATTCTGTATGGGTATGGCACAATGTATTTATCCATCATCATTGGTTATCCTTACTCTGTGGAAAGAAAACCAAGTTTCTGCCTAGGTGTTGCAAGCCATAGAAACAAGCCTACCTGGGAGCAGGGTTGGGGAGGATGCAGTTAGAACCCATGGAATGAGGCTAATTTAGTAATTTTTATTTTAAGGACTTTTGATGAGTTTATCTAATTTCTAGGTTCCCAAACTTATTTGACCTACCACCTCCTTTTCAAAATGCTTAAAAGCATTTACCCAGCATTCCCGTGGCAATGAAAAAATCTTGTACGATAGCCCATAATCCAGGATGAAGTGTGGGTATTTGCTTTTGCAGCGCCCCCTCCAGCCCCCCTCTGTCGCTTGCTTTAGGAAACACTGAATTGGTCTTTCCAGAATCGAGAAAGTCACCAACGTGTTGGCTGCCACTTTTCAGACCTGCCGTTGGGTTGAGAGAATGCAGGTTTACTGGGGAGAATGGTGTGATTTTCTTGGGTGTTTCCTGAAAGAGTAAAGCAAAGGCTGCTTACCTGTGGATCTGTGACAGCCTTGTTTATTCAGTTGATTCATTTGTCCATCTCAGGTAGCCAGTCTTACTGTCTCATTTACGTCCTCTTCATTCACCTTGACCATGTCACCGTAAGGCACCCAAAACTCTGCCTAGATGAGAATAAGAAGCTATGTAGTCACTGTAGTTAATTATCTATTATGTAAAAAAACACTTTGAGTGTCACTAACACGTTTGTGTATATCCTTCTGGACTTTTTTTTTAGAACATTTTCCTTGTTTTTGTATTCACCATCATTAGTTCCCCTTTCCCCCTCAGCCTCTCCTGGCATACCACCAAGAAACAATGAATCCAGTTACTATTTCTATAGATTTGCCTGTCCTGGATTTCATATACAGAAAATAATTTAAAACAAACAAAAACTAGCAACAAATAACAGAATCAGAAGGTTTCTACATATACTACTCAAGTTTAACTGCACATATTCTTCCCTTTGTCCTTAAAATAATAATCTATAGGGTGCTTTGGCCTGAGGAATGCACCAGGCAAAATATTTAGACAGCCTTCATTTCCTGGGTTTCACATCTTCAAATTGTATGTCTCAGCCCAGTCCCTTGATGTGGATTCTCCATCTTGCCCTCCTTCCTCTCGTTCATCTGGGACTCCCTCTCGCTTCATCTTCTTTCCAGGTAACAGAACCTCCTTCTCTGGGTAGGTTTCTCTGCTCCCCCTCAGCTCAATATGAGCTTTCCTTTAGTAATCATTTTATTGGGGGCTCGTACAGCTCTTCTCACCATCCATCCATCCATCGTGTCAAGCATTTTTGTACATTTGTTGCCATCATCATTTTCAAAACATTTTCTTTCTACTTGAGCCCTTGCTATCAACTCTTTCTGGAATTTTTATACATATTTACACAACAAAGATCATACTGCTCAGATTTTTTCACCTGCTTTTCATGTTTAATCTACCGAACAACTCATGGCAAAGAACGATTCATCTGTATGCAGAAACGAAATGGAAGGATTGTCAATGAATTCTTAGAAGCATTCGGCCAGAAACATTAGGACCCAGTTGGGAAGTGTCTTGACTTTTCTAAGGTGGCCAAAACAAAGTGCCAGAAAGTGACTGAGTTTGAATCACAGCTTTGTTGTCTCAGGGTTCTGCAGGCAAGCCTTTCCCACCAGGGTCTCAAGCAGGTGGACTCCTGTGGGCCTCTCCTACTTTCTATCAGTTACCAGCAATCCTTGGTGGTCTTTTGATGTATCTGCCTCTGTTGTCACAGAAGAATAATTTAGGACGAGGCCTGTTTTAGGGTACAAAGAGATGCTACCTCAATTCTAATTTAGTGAGAACATTTATTAAGCCTTAGAAGAGACAAAGACCACACAAAGACGTATCCAGTTGAGGGAGGCCATTAGTACAAGGTCAAAATGGTGTGTGAAGACTCACACTCAGGAAACTAGAGAAATGGGGCACAGAAGAAAGTGAGCGGTCACAAACTCATGATTGGTGGCAGATTAGTACATCAGTTACAGGTGGGACTACAGAATCAAGAAGAGACCATGATTGGGGCAGGTAGAGGGTGAGAAGGGTGTACAACATTGGTCCAGGGCCCTTCGACCAAGGCAGACTGATAGGGCGTGACTCATGGCTCTGCGACGCCTTGAGCCTGTCCCCAGTACAGTGACCTCCACTAAAGAAGAGAGAGACTGCCCCTCCCTGGGCTGACCGGAGAGGGATGAGAGCAATCTACTTCCCTATGCACTCTGCCTCTACATCCTTGCTGAATGATCAGAATGAAGTCGATTGAGGCTTAAGTCACTCAGAGACACGGCAAATGGGGCTGGGGCTGTCCCTGCCATCTGTAGGCTTTTGCAACAGTGGGGGCCGGGTTTCAGAATTTGAGTTCTATTACAGGGTTCACCTGTCTCTGGTATGACCTTATCTCCCTTTCACAACTACAGGAGCTAGGACCTCAATACATCTATTTATTCATTCATTTGTTTGAGTGCAAGGGGTAGAGAGACCATTCAATTCATAAAGGGAAGGGATGTTTTTCATTTTTGTTTTTGTTGGGGTGAAGCCTGCCTCCTGTATCATGCTGAATTGGCCACAGTCTTAAAGTATTATGAGTAGGTGCTGAAAAGAAACCTGGAACGAAGAAGACCCCCACGGTAACCTTCCCATAGACCAGAATTGCTGGTTCTGAGACCGAGCAGATGTGCCCTTGACTACCCGCGTCGGTCTGCTGCCGTGGTCCGTCTGGACCGTCTCCTCTGGCTTTAAGGGGCTGCTGGGCTGTCCAGTGACTCAATGGGTCCCGCCAAAGCCTTCCCATCGCAGATCCCAGAAGGCTGGCACCTAAACCGAGTAGGAATCTGGCTGTGGTACTGACCAGAGGGAAGTGGTCGCCACCAGCGTGCCTGGTACTCGGAGTGGGCACCCCAGGAGCCCGGCTTCCAGGCAAGGGCGTTGCTGCCTGGGAAGGCCATGGCCGGCACCCACCCCGTCTGGGTCCTACCTCAGCCACCCTGGGCTCTCCCTAGGCTGCGCTGCTGCCCTGAGCCGGGGCGCGGGGCGGAGCTGTGGCCTCAGACCAGGCTGGGTTGGGTGCTGCGTCTTTGTTGTCAGGTCCCTATGGAGATGGCGTTGCCCTGCCCCACCCCCTTTCCCAGGGCGCCCGCAGGAGAACCTGAACTCGGGAGGGACTGGGGAGTCAGCCCGGAGGTCAAGCCCTGCGCTGCTGGGCCCCGCATCTTCGGCTGCGGGTGGGACCGAGGCGCACCGTCGGGGCGCGTCGCGTTTCCACAAGGGGTCTGGGGAAGACCCCAGACTGCGCGGAGACCGCTCTCCCTAGGGACCTTGGAGAACCTCGACAGGTGGGTAATTCACCCCCCACCCCTGAAGGGCTCTGCAGAGAAACAAAATCGACCGAGAAGGGCAGATTTCTATTGCGCTCTGGTCAGGTGACCTCTGCTCTAGTCCTTTGCATGACAAACCAAATAAAGTTCCTGAGAGTTTGGGAAAGTACTGATTTGCACAGAGCTCTGCAGTACGCAACCAACTCCATTTCCTCCCTCCTCCTATCAGTTCGTGAATGTGTGTGTGTGTGTGTGTGTGTGTGTGTGTGTGTGTGAATCCACCTGAAATACAGTGCGTGGTCAGGGTCAATGGGTTCTTGCACCATGAATAGGACAAAGCCTTAAAATAACTTAGAAAACTAAAAACAAACTCTCTGCCATGGAGTTGGTGCCAACTCATAGCAACCCCATAAAACAGGCTAGAACTGCCCTTGGCATTGCCCAGACGGTAACTTTCTATGGGAATAGGAAGCCCCGGAGGAGCTAGTGGTTTCAAACGGCTGACCTTACAGTCAGTAGCCCAACGGGCAACTACTATGCCAACAGGG